GTAACATGAATTCAATCGTTTAAAAGATGTGTTCAAACAAAATAATCCTCTAAGTGCAAATGGTATATGCCATCCCCCTTCTTCGGCAAACGCCTTACAGTTTTCAGAAGAATGTTTGAGAATCCTTATGTGGCAACAACTTCAACATCGTAGCCCTTAGGAGATGGGTACTCTTTTCTCAGATCATCCTGGCAGGCTTAGTCCTACAATCAGCTGATCCAGCTCCCCCTGTACTGATTTCAGTTTTTCTTTAATTGTTAAAATCTGGCTTCCATGTGGTGTAATATGGTTAATACCACTTCATCGAATCCTCCGTGATTTAATTTCATGTTTATGAAAATGCTTAAAAATGTAGATGAAAATGCAAGAATGCAAGAATGCATGAAATGTTCGAGTCATTGATCCAAGAAATGTGACTGTTATTATGAATAATCCTTATTGGGGACGAAAATGTTTTATCTTTTAAGAGAAAAAAATATCCTGACAGCTTCTGACATGTTGACTAGTCTTCTGCTTTCGTCTTTCACCGGTTGAATAACCTGTCGAACCGCTCCGGCCTCTCTGGATGAACCGTGAAAATGTTGGGTTGTTTTTTGTACTGGTCCAAGAAGTCTCGAATGATCGCATCTCGAGCATTTACTTTTGTTGAGCCTGTTCCCAACGAATTCGTCATTGGAGCCCTTAATTGATAGGAACTATGTGAAGTTCATTAACCTGTTTCTTGAATTCGTCGATAATGGTCTCCAATTTCAGCTATCATTTTGCCATTGTCGTGTTCAAAGGGACTTCCAAGATACATAACCTTCATCCTACCCCTGCAACCTCTGCCAGTCAGTTCTTCAAAGATAAGCTTTCATTGTGCTTGATGTAGACCCGGTTCATTCTGAGTCCTTTATAATGCAGCAGAGTGATATACTCTTCAATTGTGGGCACCACATCTTCTGGATTGAATGTAACACATAGTCGCCTTGTAGACTATCCTCTGTATTTTCATCTCTTGTATTACAACACCTTTGTCCATGGATTCAGATTATTCGAGTTTTAATAAACACGTTTTAGTGGATCAATGACCTCTTTTTAATGATGCAAGTGGTGAAAATAAAATAAAATAAAGATGAAAAGAGTTAGTGAGGTGAAAAATAATAAAAAACGATCATAAAAATGAAAGTCCTACCCCACATGATATCTACCCCACATGCTTATTATTCCTACCCGGACATGATCTCTATCCCGTATGCTAATTTTAAACAAATCCTAACCGCATATTTGTCTAGTTCGCATGCTTTGAACAGAAAGTAAAGCATGAAATAAAACAGCCTAGGGTTTGAAGAGGTTTTGGGGTGGGCTCTAATTCTCCATAGTCTCCCGGTTTAGGTTCTAAAAAAACGGTACCCGAGTTCTCCTTGCTGGTGCCCCTTTGGGCTTGCCAGACCCTTAGTCCTAAACCCATCACAGGTTTGTGTGGACTAAGTTAAACTCGAGAGGACACATTCCCTTATGTCTATGCGGAGAATAAATTCACACGAAGACATAAGGTATATGAATCCCGAAGGCTACTTGCTAGGCATATGCGGTGAATAAATTCACACGAATGCGTCGCTTTCACCCCCACTTAAAACGGGTTCAGAGCTCGGGTTTAGAGCCTTAGATGAAAAAAGACTTTAAGGGCTGAAATCATTGAGAAAACGGTTAGTACAACTAATTACTCGAAAATATAATCAAAAGTAAGTAATAAGGATCGAAATGTTACCTTAAAATTTAAACTTACCCTTTTCATTAAAAAGACAACTGGAAATTACCTTAGCCTGACTCACTTACCTGTGTCCCCAGCGGAGTCGCCAAGCTGTCGCAACCGTCTTTCGGTTGGGCCCCGGAATTGGGCTTCGACTTGAAAAATGTGGATTGGAGTCGCCACCGATCATTTATTTAAAAATAAATGGGTTGATCGGATACCCTATTTCTTACCTGATCTGCGTCTTACCAGAAATATATCGGGTTCGGGAGTCGGTTACGGTCAAGGAAGGATTAGCACCCTTGAACCGCCCTTTCGGTACTACGTAATTTCCAGTTGTCTTAATTAAGAAAAATAACAAGTTAAATTAAAAGGTAAAGTTTCGATCCTAATTACTTACCCTTGATTGATTTGAAAATATCCTTTAAAAAAATCGAGAAATGTGTTAGATAAACAAGGTAAAGAAAACAAATAAGATACAAGGGAAAAATAAAATAAATAAAATAAGTAAGTAAGATAAGAAAAAATAGTAAAGTAATAATTATATATAGTAATATTTAAAAAAAGGAAAAAAATATAAATATATATATATCAAAGTATTAATAAAATAAATAAGCTATATATGTACACCAAATACTTAAAATAGAAAAGCTACCCTCCCAATTCACCGAAAATGGGGGGCTCTAGTAAGAAATAAGACAAAAAAATGGGTCTTCTAGGTTAGTAGTATATAATATAATGTTTAATAATGATAATGATAAAGACACAAGGTTTTTAAAAAAAATAATAATATAATAATAATGAATAAAAAACGAAAATAATAAAAAATAATAAATATATAAAGTTATAAGATATATTACATAAATAAAGAAATAATCAAATAAAATAATTAAGAATATATATTTAATAATATGTATATAATAAACTATTAAAAGTATAAAAAATATATACGACTAGATAAAGATAATTTAATATATATATAGTAATATTAGACTTATAAGTAAAATATTAAAGAAATATATATATAATAATAAAATATAGTAAAAAATCAAATGAAAATAATTTAATATATATATATATACATATAATAATAATAACATGAATAATAAAAATAAATGAATAAAATATCCATATAATAAATAAAGGGACTAATATAGATTTTAAAAAGCTCTTTCCCTCCTTTAACCGAAAATCAAACCGGTTTTTAAAAATAAGCCTCGGGGTAGATCTAGGTTCGAAACTTTGAAACCCCACCCATTTTGGTCATCGGCACAACCCACGTTTGAGTTATTCGAACCAAATCTCAAGAAAAATAACGTGCACATGCAAAAGAAAGAAAAAAGAAAATGCTACCTTTTATTTCCTTTTCAAATCCTTTTACAATAGTTTTGCCTTTGTATCTTTCCGTGCTTTCCTCTATGTTTTGTGTATAAATCATGTGTTACAATGGTGAGTTACAATGGCTATTTATAGTGCTTGTGGATCCTATCTTTAGGAATTTAAATCTTAGTAGAACTCTATCCTATTTTTAGGAGTTTGAATCCTAGCAAAATGTTATCCTATTTTTAGGAGTTTGAATCCTAAAATTCTATCCTATTTTTAGGAGTTTGAATCCTAGTAGGACGAAAAGGTGTGTTGACACTAATAACATTCATAAAAACTCATTATCTCTGTCGAATAAGACGCTTCAAATGAGACGCTTGACTAAGTGATAAAAGAGTGGAGAGCGAACCAAATAATCTGGCAGGCTGCTTCCCTACACAATATGATTACATCGACAAACAACTTTTTACCAAAAGAGGGAATCTGACTATATGTGACCATCGACTAATCAATCAGAAAATAAGTGTCGTGATGAATTTTATGCGAAAACCAAAACGATTACAAAAGTATACGATAAACATACCAAAAACCATGAGGATCGTGCCACAATAGTAGAGAAAATGCGTGCCACAAGAGCAGAGAAAAATCATGTCACAAAGACAGAGAATCTTATTCAAATTAAAAAGATAAAAAACATCATATAAAGAAAACAAGAGACCTAACAGTCACCAACGGTCGGTGATCAACATTGAGATTAGTGTCGTCTCCAACTAAACAAAAATCAATGAGAAAGAAAAAGATGACACAAAAATATTGAAATAAAACTAGATGTACTTAATTTTTGAATATATAACCAAATCAAAATCAAAATTTAAGTATTATAAAATCGAAATTCGTACGTAATTTTGATATTAATCTCTTTTTAATTGTTTTTGATAAATCTGTAAAATACATTTAAAGAACACTCTCAATCATTTAATAATGATTGAGACATATATAGTACCCAAATTTGAGACATCAAGGGATAACAAATCCTTTAATCACTCATTTGATTATATATAAAAAATATTTCACATTTAAGAACTATATTCATTTGTTTATATGATATAAAAACATAAAAGTATACTATATCGAAAAATTTAAGTAAATTTAAAAAATTGAATAAAATAAAATCTTGATATATACAATATAATCGAATCTATATATAGTGATCAATATTAAAATAAAATAATTAAAAATATAGTTATAAATGATGTATTCTTGAATAAATTTAAAAATATATTTTTAATAAAATACTTCTTCATCCGTAATTGATAAAATCTATATCTAAACAATGTTTTTTTTTGGTACATAAAAGATTAAGGGGCGACTCTCCGGACTAGGACATACCTAAGACCCAATTAAGATTTACATAAGAATTTACATATTGTCCACCACGGTGATATGATTCGAACTTAGACTTACAAACTCAGATTTCTGAATTTCAACCATTGTGACAACACTCTTCGACATATCTAAACAATGTTAGTACAAGATAAAAATATTTCTCCATCCGTAATAAATTTTAATCCATTATTATGAATTAATAATCATTATTTTTAGAAATTTCAGCTCAGTTAAGACTCAATCGATAAAATTATTAAATTAAAATTAATTTTTTTATCAATCTCAATAATTAATGATAATATGACATAATATAGTTATTTCATATCATCAGATGGACTCAAAACCCAAATTTTGGGTTTAATTTAAAGAAGAAAAGTTTAGAGATCAGATTGTAAATTGTAAAGTTTATGGACTAAATGTTACAATATCCTAATGTATAGTACTACAGTTGAAATTTTGAAAAGCCGCCTCACCCGATGAGAGCCTTCCTTATTGCCAGCCACAGCCAGAACCAGAATAGCTCTCGGCCTTAAAGATCTTTTAAAAAATAAAATAATAATAATAAATGGTCATTTTAATTTCAATTAAAGTCTAGTAATGGAAGACTGGAAAGCGAGATGGAAAATGAACACGTAAATGAATTTGGTCCATGCGAAGAGCGTACGACGAAGAACTAGACGCGATTGCTTCGAATTTTCCTTTCACCTTCTCTCCGTTTCGATTTCATTGTTATCTTCGATTTTTAGTATTATTTTGGAGTTTTTTTTTGTTTTTCTTCTTTGCGGCAATGTCTGATGCACCGGCGTCGTCTTCGGGAACCGTTTTAGAAGGAATTGATGACGTGGAGGATTACGTTTGGGTAAGTGCTTCTGAGGACTGTTTGGATGTTGAGAAAATGTAGGGAAAGAGAATAACGAGCATGTGTTTTTTTAGTTTTAATGTGTTAACTTTTATTTTGCTTTATCTGGAAAGTTTCGTTCCTATTTGTGAGAATTAAGAATATGGATTTTTTTATTTATTATTTCTCTTTGAATAAAAAGTGGCTGCCTAAAATCTTAGTATATAACAAAGTTATCTTTTTAATTGTTAAGAAAAAAAAATCTTAGTATATTTTTTTTTCTTACTTTATTTTTTCCCCCGAAGAAATTAAAGAGCTACGACTGAAAGAAATAATGAACTTTCCCCCTTCAGTTTCCTGCAGTTTCTTGAAGAGCAAACAGCTGTACTCATTCCGTTTTCGTTTACTCCTTCAAATTTGTTTTGTTTTAATTGTGGTTTTCTTAGAATTGTTTGGTAGTTGGAAACAATGTGGGAAAGAACACAAAATTTTACTGTCATCTTTGTTTGTTTTATCTTTCTCTATAAGTTTGGGAAGCTGATGTCTGGGTTATAACTTGGGAGCTTTGGTACCATGTTAACTTAGGTAAACAATTATCCAAAAAAGTTTAAGTTGATAAGAAAGGTCTAATTGTAAATTTAAGTGTACAAACATAGATTTCACATTTCATTGCTTAACTCTCTGAGTGTGCTATGTCTTCTTGGAAATTGTCTTAACATTATTGGCACATTAAATTTTGATCAAAATAAATAAATAAAAAGAAATAGCTGATCATTATTGGTTTTGATAGCTATGACTCTGATGACTGAAATCTATAACCAAAAAAACTAGAAAAAAGCGATTATTTGTCTCTCTATTATGGTTAACTTTGGTTGGCATAGGTTTCAGTTCATCTATGTGTCTTCTAGCAACATATGGAAATCTACTCTAGTTATTGTGCATCTTTGCTGTGAAGAGTGTTTTTTTTACTACAATATTTGAGAATTTAATGAACCCTGGTTGAAGTGTAGGCAAATGAAGGAGTAGGATCATTGCCATGGGACAGATATAGTCATGTCTACGATCTTATGGAGAATGGAAACCGAGCGTTCCGAGAGAACCATTTTGAGGAGGTTAAAATCTTCCTTTCTTAAGTGTTCTTCAACTTTATGCCTGTTTCTTATGATGACTGAAACAACAATGCTAAATTTCATAAGAATTATACATTTGGTTACTTGTGTCTATTGTTTTGGTTCTTTGCTGATACATAGTGTTTTTCATTCAGGCTATCAACAATTACTCAAGGGCCAATAACATGAAACCTGGTGACCCTGTTATTCTTGGTAATAGAAGTGCTGCGTACATGAGGTTAGGTTTGTCAATGTTAGTTGTCATTGTTTTGTAGAGATATGTGCATAAATAGATACAACATATATACATATGTGTGTACATACTTCCTTCATTTGCATTTTCGTTCGGCATTCTTTGAAGTCCTGTAGTACCCGTTAATTATGCTGGAGAATTTGTGGAAATTCTTATGCAGGATTAGTCAATTTCTGAAAGGTAGATCACCAACAGCTTCTGAATATAGACCATTGAATGGGTTGGATATGACAACACTTGCTGAAGTATGCCTATTGCTTTAATCCTTAAACTGCTCAGAAGAACATTCTGTTTTATTTATCTCTGTTACAGACTTTATGTAAGAATGAAACTTTATGACTATTATTGCAGCTTGCTCTTAAGGATGCTGAGAGGTTAATGAGCTTGCAAAATAATGAAGTAAGATCCTATATCTTAAAGGCCAATGCTCTAATTCTGGTAAGTGATGGATTGTTTTATTTGTTTCTTCCCCATTTTTCTTTATCAAGATTGATATAAATGGATCTAAGGTAAAATTACTATGGTTTTATATCTAGTTATGCTTGATAACAAATGCACAAGAACATGTGTATAGTCTATGCAGCCTGGCTTCTCTTTGGTTTTGTTTTGACCCTGCATTTTACACATGCAAATCCAAAGATTTTCAAAACTCCCTATCTAAAAGACTTGTGGGCCTCTCAATGTACGATTATTGTGCTGAACTTACACATAACATGTACGTTCACATATCTATGCCATATTGGTTTTATCAAGCATTTGTATTGTTTTGACCATGCAGTTGGAAAGATATGAGGTGGCAAGGGATGTTATTCTTTCTGGTCTTCAAATTGACCCTTTCAGGTAGTTTATGTTTTATTTTGTTTTAACATATATCGAATTGTAGTTTCTGATGTGAATGATCCTTTACTTCTGGTAATAAATAGTGCCGTTCTTCGGGCTGCTCTTCAGAGTTTGGAGAGGAGGCCTTCCAGCTTGGTGCGGACTAGAGGCCATGAGGGGCCTGAACGTACTGATGATTTTGATTGCACACTTTGTCTGAAGTTACTATATGAACCCATAACAACACCTTGTGGGCATTCTTTTTGTCGCTCCTGTTTATTTCAGACAATGGATCGCAGTAAGTATTTTTTTTGTTGATTCCAATTCTTATTGTGCTTCTTATCAACATACTATTATCTGACCTTGTATTAAAATGATAGGCAACAAATGTCCATTGTGCCGAACAGTGCTATTTATTAGTCCTAGAACATGTGCAATAAGGTAAGCTTCTCATCTGTGGTTATCAGTTGAAGTACTTTTGTTAGGAAGTTGGGAAGGAATCATGGTCTTGAACCTCAGCTGTTTGAACTAGTTCGTGTGATTAGTTGAAAAATAACTATTCATTGCTTCTATATTATAAATACAGTAGGCTGCAACTGACAGTTTGGAGATTGTTATTCATGTTCTTTTGGAGCACCGAGCACAATGATATAAGTTTTGAATCTTATGGCCTTAGTTGATTCAATTAGTATATGAAGACCTGTTCATACCTAAAGAACTTGGCATATCTCATTAAAAACTCCCTTCGTATTCGTCGACATACTAAGAAGTATGTTAACGAACATTGGAAGGAAGAAAAGAGTACCTCATATTTCATTGAATAAAACACCCATTACATATGAAAGCATGAAATACCCTCAAACGGGGATGTACACCATTACAAAAAACCATAACCACCTAAAATTCTTGCCTCCTCGACCACAAAAATCTAGAGGCAATCACCCTCTACCTAAGATAAACCTCCAACAAAAGAAAAACAACCCAACAGTTACTGACATAACATACATGAAAACAACACCTGCAACCATTAAAATGAAAACATCCGCCTCTGAAGGGAACTCCACAAATTACCAACATGATTCAAAATCACCAAAAAAATTTAGCTCGTAAAGTTATCTTCAATGAAACAAAACCACACTTCCTTCCCATTAATCAATGTGTCATTGCCACTTAATTCAAAACTCTTTTCTTTGGCTTGCATTTCTTCACCACACGATTTGTTCTTAACTTTCCAGGGAAAGGGGGCACTACTGGGGTATCTTCCTTTAATTGTATTGCGTCACCGGATAAACCATGAGAAGTAATGAGACCCATCATAAGAACATCTTCCGAGGCCCTGAGACTAACTCCATCAGAATGGTTAACTGATTTATTAACTAGATGCTCCATGATACTTAATTTTGATTGATCCACAGCCTCCATTGGGTGAAACCCTGAATCTAAAAAGGGGAAGGAAACATTCTTAACCTGACATCGGCAGACCCGCTTTTAGTAAGATCATCCTCACCAAATTTGTTACTCGGATTCTCATCACTTTTGGTACTCTTCATGAGTGAAACATTTTCTATGTTGGCAACTTCAATTGCAACATCTTCAACGGGGCAATTTAAACCTGAGGAGAATACCGACGATCCTGACAGAGAATTCTCCGACGTTGCCTCGAGAGAACAAATCAGATCTAATGAATCATCGACTTCCTCAGGGATCCAAGACTTTGGTTTGAAAGAAGGCTCAACTTCATGCACCATGATTTTAAAAAAAATTAGCACCGACCTTCAAACCTAACGACTCATCAATTCTCACTTTAGTCTTTGTGAGGATTGAATTTTTGCCCGATCAAAAGATGAAGGAAACTGAGAGCTTTCGTTAATTGCTAATAATTTGCCCCACCTAGCTGCAATGTTCTTGAAAGTACCCCAATTCCACGCGTGAAAAGGAATCCCTTCGCAAACTACCCACACTCGACGACACTCCACCACTAGACTCTCTGACCAAGCTTCAACATTGGAAAACCACTCTGCAAGAGTATGTGATTGTTCATTCTTCACCCTTCTCAACGTAGCAGAGTCCTCAAATATCATTAGAACTACATTCCCAGTAGTTCTCATTAACGACAAACCAGTGAGTCCTTTGTCTTGCATTTGGCTAGCAAGATTGCCGATTTTGATATAATTCTTGCATCACCCCATTAGAGAGTTATCCAACACTTGAAGTTTAGCTTCGTCAACAACACTGTCTACTGTATAGAGATTATTTTTTGTAACAACTTCCATCTCAGGCTTTTGGTGAACAACTGGCGAAGACTCTCCAAAAAGAATTTCTTGGGTTGTATTTAGCCAAAGAGACTCCAATTTTACTACCATCAATGTGAGATCCATTCATCTTTGAGATCGCTTTCCTGGCTTCTTCAATTGTTGCAAAGCGAATGAACCTGAAACGAACCCCCTTTGAATTTCTTTTGGTTGGAATGAAGGCATTAATAACCTGACCGTCGGTGCAAAATAAAGATCCAAACCTCTTCCAATGGATCTTCTCTGGTAAGTTTTCAATGTATAACGTAAAGCAACCAGTTCTATACCCATTACTGATTTTTGGATAGTCTTTCTTCCACCAGTAATTAAAACCGTGGCGATCCGGTGGTAGGTTTTCCGCCTCAGAAATCTGCGCAATGGACTCTTCCACGCTCCTTGCTTCAACCAACAAATCATCCCTATTATTTTTTGTCACCAACACCATCCTCTCATACTCTTCCTCCGCCGCAGTCCTACTCTACTTCTTTGCCTCCTCTGCTTTTTTCAACGTCGCCGCCTGCTGCACCTCTCTATGCTTTTGTAGCTCCGCTTCCGTCACCTTTGGCACCAGAATCTCCACATGATTCGCCTTCTTATCCAGTTTTTCAAAGCTTTTTCGATCTCCTTTTCCTCCATCTCGGACTGACGGCGAGTCTTTTCCCGGCGAGCGACAGCTTCAGCCCGTTTCTCGGCTTCTTCCTCGCGTTTCTTGGCCGCCCTTTTAGTAACCAGAAGCTGTTGCTGTTCAAGACTTTTGGATGGATTTTTCTCCAGCTCATAGGCATCATAACTGGAAGGAAGAACTTGGCATATCCACATGTAGTTTATGATAATTGAACTTGGGAATCGCCTTCTGTCTAAACTTTTTACATTCTGCTAAGTGTTAATTTGCTATTTTCTTCTTTGTTATGGATTTCTGTTCTTTTTTTTACTATTGTTAATAGAATTACTTGTTTTGTAGTGTAACACTAAACAACATCATACAAAAGAACTTCCCTGAAGAATATGATGAAAGAAGGTCAGAACATGACAATCTGATCCATCTTGGTAATGATATGATACCTCTTTTTGTCATGGATGTCGTCTTTCCCTGCCAGAAGCTTCCACTCCACATATTTGAACCCCGCTACAGACTTATGGTGCGTTTTGTATATTCTCTCTAAATACTGTTGTTTATCATGATAAAGTCGGACAATTGGGTGTATTACTTTTTTTTTTTTGCATTCCCAGCTGTTACCATCGCACAATTTTGTAGCTTCTTACTATGCTTATGAGCTTGTTGGCAGAGTTGCTTTTGTTATAAATCCAAGTTGGTTGAGTTGACAAGCTGCCACGAAAGAAATGTATATGTCACTATGATTCCCAGTTTGTTTAACTTATCCTGCCAAATTTGTATAAATAAAAGTTTGAGTGTAGCCCTTTAGACGAATCCTTCTGTCTGAATTAATTTGATCTTAATCGACAAGGGTCACTGCCTGGTTAACCTGGTAGTGGTTCCTTGGTAATTAATTGGTTTTTTTAATATTTTTATTTATTTATTTGGTTTTCAATGCAAGCAATCCTTCCATGTTGATAGCGGAACTATAGGTTACAATTGTTAGTCACATGATCTTACTTTTGGTGCAATATATGTTGAAGCTGATTACTTCCTGTGTCTAAACTGCATTGCTTCTGGATTTGAAATGTGGAAAAGCAAATTGTTAGCCTGTTTTCGCAATTGACATCAGTTTGAGTTCATCTTACCTTTAAAGCGTACTTCTACATGCACATTTTTTCCCATGATCACCATGATTTAGTTTTAATTGCTTGAAAACAGGTGAGGAGAATAATGGAAGGGAATCATAGGATGGGAATGGTGGGGCCTTATTTTCATTCTTCTTCCTTTTGTCAAAGCATGTGTAATAGCCCTCACTATTTTTATTTTTTGTATACGTTATTAATGTAGGTCATCCGTGATCCCGCTACAGATTCCGTTGCTGATTTTGCTTGTGAAGTGGAGATCACCGAGTAGGTGGCCTGTAAACCTTTCTTCAATCCAAAAGCATTGCACCATAGCTCAATTGTTTTGATAAAGATTATGTGTTTTAACCTTATGATCTTGTCATGTTCTCTAAATATGTAGATGTGAGCCACTTCCTGATGGACGCTTTGTTCTAGAGGTGAACGTTATCAACTTTCCTTTTCCTTTCCTTCAATAAGATCTTCTATGTTATATGCATAAAAGTTGCAAAAAAGCTTTTTATTAATTTACAATTCCTCCATCTCAAACTCTCTGTCAAAGCACATGTTTTAGAAACAAAATAAGATAAGATTAATTGTTCCTTAAATTAAACAATAAACTGTAGCTTGGTCATAGATGGGGCTTTTGTATACCCCCGGCTTTAGAAATTAATGCGAATCTAGATGCTTCCTTTTTGCTTGTTTGCAACTAGTGGTCTTTCCCTACATTTAATGGCTTGTCTTCTAGAACTGAAATTCATGTTTTCTAATGCATTACTTCTAACGAGCATATGTTTAAGTATACACGTACACGAGTAAGCTTTTCTTTGTACAAGAAACAAAAGAAATTTGTGTGTTTTCTGATCTGAAGGTTGATACAATAATATCAAGAGGCTACTAGAGAAAGCCTCTTTTACAATAATATCATTTGCATCTTTCTATGTTTATTCAGCTTAACCTGTAACCTAGCATCAAGAAGCTACTAGAGAAAGCCTCTTTTTTCCCCTAATGTTGGACACATAATGTTTATATTTAATTCTGGTAAAAAAAAAAATCTGACAAAAAAAATGATCATATATTTCTACAAAATGCAGATTGAAAGTCGCCGGAGATTTCGCATCCTCAGATCTTGGGACCAAGATGGGTTAGTTTTCTCATCATCGGATCATGTATATCATATGCTTTTACTCAGTTTCAATTATCCATGCCCCTACTAGATTTTGTTGTGGAACGTCACACTTTTGTTATCTTTGCAGATATCGAATGGCAGAGGTCGAGTGGGTAAAAGATGTAACCCCAAGAGATGCTAGAGAAAGAGAAGATGTATGATTTATCATTTTTTTGTTGCCAATATGCTTTATTTTTCCTTATTAATTTATTTCTTTGAGGATAGAAACGCATCAACCAGTAATTTTATGTGTAAGTTACTTGGACCCGGGTGCAAGTGTCGGACACGGGTAGTGGAGGATCCTTAGAGGTCATATCCCCAAATTGAAGTGTCAGAAACGAGTACTTCATGAAAATTGAAGAGTCCAAGCAACATAGCATAATAATGCCCATGATGCTTACAGTTGCAGGAGTTAACAGATAATGCAGCAGCATATGCTTGGTCATGGCTAAGTACGGCAAAAGAAGCAACACGAGGTAAGACTCTTAAGTCGGATACCTTGAGAATTTTAAAATCATATTACTTCTCTAATATCGATCCATCTTAAAAACAAAGTTCTAATAAATTGAACTAGTCTTATTTCATTACATTTTCTCGAGGCAGACTGATATGGTTCTATCTTACCATGTACTAAGATGCTAAATCCGACATGTTCGACCATCTGTTGCTACAACTTTTCATTCTCCTTGATCTTTTTGTGGTTTAATAGGTTTCGAGTCTCAGTTTGACGGGTTATTTTATTGTTTCAAATTTTCTTTAGCATAACGAACATATAATGCGTGTTGTTACTGCTTTCTTTATGGCGTTCTAACATAATTCCCAACTTCTGCACAGATCGAAGAAGGCTTGAGGTGCTCTATAACGTTGAAGCAATGATGCCTAATACACGAGACCCCGAGCGCTTCAGTTTCTGGGTACGATTCTTTCTTCCATTATATTGTTGGTTTATGATTTAGTTATTGTTTCGAATTTCATAATATAATGACTGATAACACGGACCATTGTACAGCTTGCTACTCTGTCGAATCGAAGGCCTTCGGAAAAATTAGAACTGCTACGAATCCGAGACACAGGAGAGGTATGATTTTCCAGTCGGATTGTAAGGCACTGGTTACTTTGACTATCCTATACGGGCAGAGCTATGTAGGGGCAGAGGCCCTCTCCCCTAACTTTGATGGTTTAATTGCATTTTAAGTTATTTATAGTTTTGAAATTATTAAAATTAAGTCCTAGTAATTGAAATTTCAATATTTTAGGAGTATAATGGAAATATCTCAAAACTTTGGTTGTGCTAAGGCTTCCCTTACTCTTATTATCATTCACTTTTACTCTCTTCATAGATCATTCTGACTTCATTTTGTAGTTTTGTGTCTGATATGGATATATTTTGTCTTATTTTTCATATATTTAGATCATATTTACATAATCATCTACATAAAATTTTGGATAAACTACGCATTTAGTACTTAAAATATCAGTTTTTACCCGTTTTAATACCTAAACTTTTAAATTTTTTAAAACTATACTTAACGTTTAATTTTTATTTCATTTTAGTACTTGGCCTTTAAAAAACTTAATGTGTTTGATACCTAAACTATAAGTTTTGATCCGTTTTAATATCTAAACTTTCAATTTTTCAAAATTTTATGTTAAATTTTGAACGGGTACTAAAATAAAACAAAAACTAAAATTTTTAATTGCAGATACTAAAATGAAACAAAAACTAACATTTATGTATGATTTTGATTTTTTTTAAAGTATAGATATTAAAACGGATCAAAATTAATAGATTTAGGTACTAAAAGCATAATTTACCCTAATTTTTTAAAGGAAAATCAGCCTGAAATAAATGGGATTGAATATTCATTTTTGTTTTGCAGAGGATACGAAGGGGACTAATATACCTGAGAACAGAAGCACAAGGTCATCGGTAACGTACAATGATATTTATGATAATACGGGATGCAATTTATCATTGATATGTATATATTTTTAACAAATATAATATATTAATTCGACCTTAATTTATATATATTTTTTTGATTCAATATTCTTTGGGCCACGCTACAGTAGTCTGTGGGTCCCTATGTTTGTTGTAAAGTCATTACTTTGATTCTTAAATTCCTATGTTGAACAGTGAAGAGAAATTTGTTATTGATTGCTTTAAGGACTGTCTGTTTTTACTTATATATTCGGATTTTTTTTGTATATTTTTAAAATTTATTAGTCATTTTTTTGTTAGAAATTATGATATTGAATCAGTTTGGTTCAGTCCAAATAATTTACAGAATCTTATAAAATTTCATTTTCGGGCAAAATCCGCCATCGTATATGAATAAAAATCGTTAGTTAAAAAATTATTAATACTTTAAAATAAAAGTTTTTAAACCTAAAACAAAATGTTTAAGATTCAAAATGTTTCAAAAAAAGAATAAAGATCAGAGTGATTAAACGTTAGGGTTTTTTTGTCCAAAAGTGAAATGATAGATCCAAATGCTCTAAAAAGAATAAAAGCTAAAAGCTAAAATGACAATTTTAATAAACGTTGAAGGCTAATTTTTGTCATTATGACTTTACGTTTTTATTTATCATCTAACTATTTCCCCCAAAATGATAGCTAACATTATTTTTTTTTCTATTTTTGTACCCTATAGTTAGGGGTGTGCAAATTTGAATATCAGATTTGATCCGATCCAAAAATTTGAATATTAAAAAATTTTGGATTCCTAAAATAGTGATCCGTATTCGATTTGAAAATATCGGATATTCAAATTTTCAAATATCCAAAATTTTGAATCGGATATCTAGATATTGGAACTCGAATATAAAATTTAATTTAACAAAAAAATATATTTTATATTTTATAATTTAATGTAACTGATTTGATGCTTCAGTTATATATATAATTACACATACAATAAATAATTAAATATTCTAATATTTATTGAGTTAGAGCTTTAACGGGTCAGTGAGTTACCCTTTTATTGGGTGCTAAAAGGTATCTAAAATCTAAAAATCTATTTTTTTTTGGATTTTCAAATAATTCGAAATTGAAATTTATTTGTTTGTATCCAATCTGATTATCCAAAATAAAAAGGGATTTAATATCTGAAAATTTTGAATTAGAACGATCGGGTCGAATCATTTTATACACCCCTACCTGCAGTAAAGTTTGAACACTAAGTAAAATAAAAATGATAATGTTGTCTAAAATCAATTTTAACTAAAAAGCTCGTTTTGACCCAAAATTAATGTCAAACCAACCACAAAAGCTAATATTTCTAGCCTTTTCAATCTAACTTTGTGTTTATAAGCAAATTTATATTTTTACCTTTACCAATGCATGAGTCCCACTCAATTATGTATAATAATTTAATACAAATATCCTTAAAAATAATTTATTAATTTTAATAATTAATTTTAATAATTTTAAAAAAATCATGATTTATATATTAAATTATTAATAGTGAGTTAGATAAAATATTTTTTTATAACTAACTTTTTTGTTTGTATTTTTATATTTTTGTTATATTTTAAGTTGATATAATTCATATATAATAATAATTTTTTGAATTCACTATAGTTTAAATTGATATAATTCATATATAAGTGTAAATATAATTTAAATGTTATATTTTTAATTTACAGTATAATGTCTAGACATTTTATTTTTTCAAACGGATCTTTTAACAACAAACCCAAACAATTAAATTTTAAACTGCACTTATGAACAACACTTTTAAAAGTCACCTCTCAAAAAACAATGCCAAACTGACCTTTAGTCTTCAAAATTTACACATTTTATCAAATTAGTTTTAATTTAAAATAATTCAATAAAATCTTTAATATTTAAAATACCTTATCAACTTAATCCTCAATTTAATTTGAAATATTTTAATAATTTATTATTAATTTAATAGTAATGTATAAATATTAAGGATTTGATAAATTATTTTGAATTACGATTAATTTGATAAAATTGATAAATTTTGGAACAAAAGCTGGTACTATACTATACAACAGGAGCGGATGTATGTGGCTCCCTAGGGGAGCCACTACACACCCATTATTTTGATAAAAATGTTAAATTTAGTTTAATTTGTTAATAAAAATAGAAAAAAAAAAATAAAAAAATTGCATACCCAAAATTTTTAGAATATGAGCATTAAAATTTTAGACCCCCATTTTTTAATTTTTAGATCCACCACTGCTATACAACATCATTATATCTGTTAGATAAACTATCAAACTCAACGATAAGATATCAAAATAAAAATAAAAAAATATAACTATACCTATGATTTTACTCTATTTATTAAAATTTTCTTAATCAATTACAATCATAATTTTCTTTTAATAAGCATTTGTGTTCTACCTTTTAATAAGCTTTTATTATCAGGGAGTTACATTCAAACACATATTTTCTTTCAATTACAATCATTAATCTGCAGTTACACAATTAATTAAATGTAAAAAATCATTTTTATTAACCCAATCTCATAATTATGAGTCTTTAAAGACAGCTTCATGCATGCATGCATGGCCAGTTTCATCCATGGCGGCGCACCATCTTCCACAATTATCAATAGTTACCTCATTGTTCATTTCATCGCATATATACATACATTCATTCATATATATATATATATATATATATATATATATATATCGTCTCTTCACATTTCTCTCACAATCTCGAAAAGCAAAATGGGAAGTCACTGCTCCTTTAATGTAAGCCTGCCTGAGTCTGATAATCATCTTCAAGTGGCTAAACGAGGAGAATCTTCGTCACTTTTCCCTCCCCATCTTCCAATTGATTCAAGGTAAGTTCCAATTTTCGTATCTGTTATATCCGTAATCACGATTATCACGGAAAATGTACTCGAATAATGGTAAATTTTTCTCAAGAATTTTATGCTTTAATGCTTTGTTTCAGTGCAAGTGTGTTTTATAATTCCTTGGATTGGAAGCAAAGCAACTTTGATGAGTTTCCTATCCAAGAGAGCTTTGAAGATGCTGGTGTTCCATTGATGAACAGCTTCTCTTTATACTCTCCTTTGGATATTCAACAAAGTCCAACTCAAGGTGAGTTTTATAAATTCATAAATAAAACATCACAAATATATATATATATATATATATATATATATATATATATATAAATAGTTGAACTCATTAAGTAATTTAGTATCATTACTAGAGAGTGTTGTCCTCTCCATAAATCTCGAATTCAAGTTGGATCTGCACAATGTATATTGTTAATGACTAAGAAAGATTTTGAACAAATATCACTTTATAATAATATCATATTATATATATATATAGTTCAAATCTCATGAAGGGAGAAAATAATCTCTCCATTTAGGGACTTACTCTTCTTGATTCTGGATCTAGTTACCCTTTTGAAACGAAGGGTACTAAAAGAGGTATTTTTCGTGTTTAGGGTTTTGAAATAATTTCACTAGATTTAGATATTAATCATGATCCAAACACAAATAATTATGTTTAGAATTTTATTCGATTCAAGTTAAAATTTAATAAGGTCTCAAACACTATCTTTGCAGACGATCAGCTTCTTGGATATGATAATGGAAATGGATTTTGGAATGAAGTAGGAGCACTGTTTGAACCCAAAAATCAAAGGGTTTTGAAGGTTAACAATGGAGAAGAAGGATTAATAAATGAAAACAAAGCTAAAAGGGAAAAGAAGTGCAACCCTAATGCTAAAATGCTGTCAAAGGATGTTATCTCCCAATACTTTTACATGCCTATAACTCAAGCAGCGAAAGAACTCAACTTAGGGCTGACATTGTTGAAGAAAAGGTGTCGGGAACTCGGAATCCGCCGATGGCCGCACCGGAAACTTATGAGCCTCAAAACCCTAATCAACAACATCCAGGTACCCACATATTTTTCTTTCTAAGTTTGATATCCAGTTTTTTACGTAATAAAAAAGATATTTCTCACTTGGTGTAACCCTTAAACTGAACCCTACTCTCTAACGTTAAATCAGTGTTTCAAACTTCGTACACTTGAATTGTGAAAAGGAAACTCCTTGTGCTGCTCTCTTTGACAATATTGAGAATGAAATATTAAAACTATCAATTGAATATACGAAGAGGGAGGGAAACTATCAATTGAGACTATTTCTTCCATAGTAGCGATAGAGGGGGTAAAATTATCAATTTACATCTTAAAAATAACTCAGCATTTGTATCGCTGACAACTAACACGAACACGAATATCGAAACGACTACACAGGTGTTGCAGACGGAGGGAGGGGAGGGGAGCGAAAGGAAGCTGAGGCAGGCGATGGAGGTTTTGTCGAAGGAGAAGAAGATGTTGGAATCGATGCCGGACATGGAGTTGGATGACAAGACCAAGCGGCTTAGACAAGCGTGTTTCAAGGCCAATTACAAGAAAAGGAAGCTGATGATGGAGCAGCGGTCGCCGCGGCCATTAGTGTCATCTTCTAGTACTACTGTTAGTAGCCAAGCTTATGACATGCGAAATGAAGAAGAAGAATATGATGATGATGAAATGAAAGCTCTTTTATCTGACTTTTTTTCATCGACCAACATCATGATATAATGTCGGATTTGCCGATTATCATTACACAGATACTATGAATATCGATCCTTTTGTCTTATGTTGTCATGTTTGATATATACACACATGTATATGTAGGTAGTATCTTTTGTCGAGACATTTATTTTAAAAATCACCGTCAATTAAAAATCCAGATTTTCTAAAAACATTTGCCTCGAATAATTTGAGACTTGAGTTTAAAAAATAATAAAATTTATTTGTGGAGTCGACACCAATATTTGATTAGGGTGTGATTGGACACTCAAAAACATATTTGTCATTTTAACAAAAATATTAATTTTAATTAAAACAATAATTTTACAGTTTGTGTTACCAAAATTTGAGTCTGAGAGTCGGTTACACATGGGGAAGATTTAGCACCCCACAACGTCTTAAATTTGTACCTAATTAATTAATTAGTTGTCTTTGTAATAAAACTTATACGTTCGAGTATAATTTAATGAGAAAATAACTTCAGTGACCGAAAATGCCTTATAATATACGATTTTAACCAACTTTTTTTGGATTTGCGAAAATGACCAACAAATTCGCAATGTGAACTCCAATTTCGCAAAACAGTTTCCAAATTCGCAACTCAGTTTCTGCGATCGCAACACGATTTTCCAAATTCGCAACGCGATTTTCCAAATTCGTATCGCGATTTTCAAATTCGCAACACGGAATTTCAAATTCGCAACTTGATTTCTGAATTCGCAAAGCAAATTTCTTTTTCGCAACACAAGTTTCCTTTTCGCAACACGAATTTTGTTTTCGCAACTCGATTTTCGAATTCGCAACACGAATTTTAATTTCGCAACACAAATGTTTTGGGTATATAAACTACGCAGCAGCAGCAACTCATAACCTAAATCCCTAAATCGCAACTCATTCCATCTACATCTCTCAATATCTCTGGCGACATCCTTTCCTATATCCAACAACATCCTTCTCCATCTCTAATTTTTTTTACATAATTTTATTTCTATATAATTTTTCAATGATTTCGTTCCCAAATTATCAACTATCAACTTAATAAAGGTATGTTTTTCTCTAAGTTAGTGATGATATCTAGTTTATAGCTCGTTTGTTTAGTAAATTAATTTACAATTTGTAGAATGAAATCATCTAATGTTGATCATGTTTTGATAGATTTGTGTTTTGGAGGGTCATGGGAGAATGTTAATGGTGTTTTACAATATATGCCTTTACCCATGAATCTTCAACTAAAACTGTCATTAAAAAAGTTAACTTATGAAACTCTAATGTTACGTGTTGCAAAGAAATTGGATTTAGAGCCTCTAAGTGGATTTAGGCTATCTTATCAGAGAAAATGTAAAGTTTATTTGTTAACCGACAATGAAGATGTTGAACGATTCATTGCTTACATTAGTGTTTCGCAAGATGATGTTACATTGTATGTTGTTGAACCTAGAAGTAGTGAAGTTGGGTCAGTAGCGGGTAGTAATCAACTAAGTGCTTCAACCCCAGTTTATGGTGCTCACAATGTACAACGTTGTTATCAACCTCAAAATTTAATGGTTCCACCACAATTTCATCACCAAGAAAATTTTGTTTCACCACATTTCCAATACCAAACACAATCTCAAAACCCACAACCTTTCCCTAATCCAAATCCTAATCAACTTTCAGCACCAAATTCTGGTTTTCGTATTGACCAGTTAGACGATGATGAGCCAACAGAAAAAATTGTGAGTACTAGTCAATATTCAAAATTTGATCTTGGTCAATACTCGGATTTTGATGATGTTTCAAAAGAAGAAACAGACCCTGCATATAATGATTTTGATATTGGTCAATACCCGAATTTTGATGATGAAACAACCACTGTCGAGGAAGATGTTGTTGATGATAATGAGGAGGAAGTTACGATTGTGAATAAACATGTTGAACATCCATTATGTAATTCATATAACTCCGAAGAAGAAAAAAAAGAAGAAGAAGTCCCCGAAGAAAAGAAAAAGAAGAAAATGCCACGGAAGTATAACTAGAATATGCCATAATTACTTCAGATACCGGAAGAAGAGTTGGTAAAGATAGCAGTTGATTGTTACACAAAAGTTATTCGTATCAAGAAAAATGATTGTTTTGATACAAAGGAAGACTTGAAGATAGCTTTGTACACGAAATGTGTGGAAGATGGCTATCAACTAAAAGTTAACAAATCAAGCAAAGATTATTTCGAAACAAAGTGTATGATTGACAAAAACTGTATGTGGCGTATGATTGCAAAAAGGATAAAAGATTACGAAATGTTTCAAGTTAGGACTTTTATTGATATACATACATGTTCAAGAACCCAAGTTTTTCCTAACCATAGACATGCAAACAAAAAGGTGTTGGGTGGTTTTCTAGCTGAGTTAATGTTTTTGAATGACAGGGTATATCGGGAACATGAAATTATGACTGACTTGAATGCTCGGTTCAAGATTAGTATCTCATATTCTCAAACTTGGAGAGCCAAATGTTATGCCTTGGAATTGTTGAGGGGGTCGCCAGAAGCATCGTTTGCCCAATTGCCGGTTTATTGTCACAATTTAAAGCTGAAAATCCTGGGTCGGTAACTCATATCAAAACAAATAGAGATGGACGTTTTGAGTTGCTGTTTATCGCCATTGGTGATACGGTTAGTAAATCAATATAATTTTGTTGACTCATTTTTGTTAGTTACATGCATTTCACACTTAAAATGATTATATTTCTTATGTATATTATTTTGTAGATTCGTTTGTTTATTACTTGCATGTGCCCATTTATTATAGTTGACGAAGCACATTTGAAAGGTCGATACCTTGGAGTAAACTTATTAGCAGTAGCCATGGATGCTAATAATGGGATACTGCCAATAGCTTACGGGGTTCACAAATCTGAAACCTCTGATTCATGGACATGGTTTATGGGGCATCTTAGGGATTGCATAGGTCCTATTAGTAATCTGACAATCATATCCGATAGGGCAAACTTAATTGACAACGCTATTAGAAGGTGTTTCCCTGATGCTTTTCATGGAATTTGTGGTGTTCATTTGTACAGAAATCTAAAATCAAGGTCTGCTGGTATAAAAAATCACAAATGGACATACTGGAAGACTGTAAAAGCTTATCGGGAAGTGGATTTAAATAAGCATATAAATTGTTTAAGACATGTTTTGCCTCAATGTGCTCAAACACTAGAAGATTTCGGGTTTGAAAGATGGTCAAGAGTATATCAACTTGGAGCAAGATATGGTTTCATGACGTCTAATAGTGCAGAATCAATCAACGCTTTAAGTCGTCATTCCCGAAAATTACCTATTACTATATTAATGGAGTTTTTTCGAGCCTCTATTCAACAGTGGTACTACAAGAAAAGAAACCATGCAGGTATTATTTCTTTAAATTCACAACTTATCATATTTAATAGATTTTACTAAATATTATTTATTTAAATTTACAGGAACATTGAAACGTCGTGTTACACCATGGAATGAAAAAAAGATAATGAAACGTGTTGTGAAGTCAACGTCATCGAGAGTTGAACCCTGTTTAAACACTTTATTTGAAGTATTGGATAATAACTTAGATGGGCTTGTCGATCTAAATGCAAAGACGTGTAGTTGTATGAAATGGCAAACATCTGGTTATCCATGTGGCCATGTTATAAACGTTGCTCTTCATCTAAACCAAGATGATTCAAGCGCATACGCTATGGATTGCTACACAACAGAAGTATATCGATAGATTTATGCCGAGATTGTCTACCCTATTCCGCATCCTTCTGAGTGGGACATATCAGATGACTTACAAATAGTTTTGCCACCAGTTATGGAAAAAAGACTACTTGGCCGACCAAAAAATCACGATCGTATACCGTCTAAGGGTGAAGAGAAGAGGATATCGATATGTAGTTGGTGCAAGGAAAATGGTCATACAAGGTTAACCTGTGGATCACCAGTGCCATCACAATCATCTTTTCCTCTACCAAAATATGGATCCTCATCAAAATCCAAAGCTCATATGGTGCCAAGCAAAAGGAAATCAAAATCGCAATCACAACCGACTTCATCTTTTGGGACTATTAACTAGGGTGATTTTTAAATGCAAACATTGTATTATGTGTATTTTATATGTGAATGCATACATTTTCAGTTAGACATGCATTAGTTACTTGAGTTTAAACATTGCTATGATCTGTTCAGTTGTTATCACTTATCAGATTGTTGTATGTTATCTTTTTGAAGGTGTTTTCGTTGAATTCGCAATGCGAAAGTCAAATTCACGTTGCGATTATTGCGAAAGTCAAATTCGAAACATGAAAGTCAAAGTTGCAACGCGAAAATCAAATTCGCAATGTGAAAATCGCAACACGAATTTGACTTTCGCGTTGCGAAAGTGTACCTTCAACAGGTATTTTTTGCCTTCAACATAATGCAGATTAAAATTAAACAACAAATCAATTAAACAAAAAAACAATTCAACATAATGCAGATTGAAATTAAACAACAAATCAATTAAACAAAAAAATAATTCTTATTTACAACAAATCAATTAAACAAATCAATTAAGACAATACATCTAAATGCTCCTAATAATAGGGAGCTTACATCCATCCAAATACATCAATTTCACGCAGCTCACTTGAAGGATTAACCTACAGAAACGTTATGGCCATGAGATTTTCTACACAACTAAAACCAACACATATGAGCTGAAATTATTGAATTCTAGGTACTTAACCAAACATTTCAAACCAGCAAAGAGTATATATGTTAACAACACTTGCTCAAACTTACCAATAACAAATGGTTGTTTATGCACACTTTCAGCAAGCGGATGCAGGTAGAACACGTCTTTCATATATCTCTCTAGCCATAAAATACCGAAACCACAACCCTACTGCACCTCTATCTCTATCTGTGGGAGGTAAAAACTATTTACCTCTTATCGTCATACGTTCCAAGCACATGCATACAAGAGGACCACAATCCCCTCTGGCTCCCGCCGTTT